TTTTTTTTTTTTTTTTTTTTTTTTTTTTTTTAAGGCAGTTTAGTTGATGGTGGATAATGAATAGCAAACCTGGAGGTTGTGTGTTCGATTCCCACACGAACCATTTTTTGTTTTTTGTTAAGGTTAGGGCTTCATCCAATTGCAATTTATATATTTTATATGAGAAGAATCTATGAATATTCACTTCATTTTTGGTAGTATTTAAGGACGTACTGTGTACCGTACTCGCGCGAATAAGCGTGAAAATTTCCTTAAGCGCCCCGTTTGAATAAGCGCCCCTCATAAGATTTTCTTTTTAGCAAGTCAATAATCCAATCAATCCTGGGACTGTGGTTGTTGGCATGATTTGAGCTGTAGAGTGGAAATACTTTTTTCTTCAGTCAATATCAAAATGAGGATATTTCTCTTGGACAGATGAGAGCTCTGATCCCTGGACAGACAATATATTTCCAATTTTACTCTTTTTACATATTTGTCTATGCCTAGTTCTACTCCTCTTTCTCTTTTTCCGACCTTTAGCACATTCTCATCTAGTTTTCAAGAAAAAATACAATGATCTTGCCATCCTGCTAATCTCAATCGGCCGATGGCCAACAAGCTAACCACTAGCATCTGCTATTTTGCTGTTATGTAAATATTCACGCATTCTTGTAATGAGCCATTTTCTCTGGACGATTATCTTTTCTAACCACCATTCGTGATGTCCTTATATAATCTTTTTTCATTCAAAAAGTGACTCTTGAATTTAAAAATTTTCCATAAGAACCGCTTGATTTTCATCTATTTCCATAAGCGCCCCCTCAATTTCCACTCTGTTTTCATAAGCGCCCCGTTTAAATAAACGCCCCGTTTGAATAGGCGCCCCTCAGAAAGTGCAAAAAAATATTTTAAGCGCCCGGGCGCTTATTCGCGCGAGTACGATATGTCTGATTGGTTAAGAGTGAGCTATTAAATAAGATGACAGTCGTTTATTATTAAATTGCAGTATTATTTCAGTCAGATATTCGAATCACAGTCTATCTGATCCTGTTTATAATTACTTCTATCGTTTCATTAACGTTGATACGATAGATCATTCTAGAGTGTCAATCAAACTCAACAACTAACCAATCAGAACATGGCCTGAGATTACGCGCTTGTTCCACAAACACGCGTGTTGTCTCCCAAAAGCCTCGTGTTGTTTACGTATCCCACTGTCGTTTTGTGGGATCATAGCAACAATATTCTAAAGTGCGGAGCTTAACGGAAGGTCCATTTCATTATAATTTCTTCAATAAGACAAAAAATATTCTAAACAAATGTTAATCACAGATGTAAACCAGCGGCATAAACATGAAAAATATTATATAAATACTTCGATAATAGTGACATGCCTATAATATGCGAAAACAAAACTGGCAATTATACTGTCTGTCCCCATCCCCGTTTGATATGGCAGTTTATGACATCAGTATGTACATTTGTCTAAATAAAAATTATTATGGGCCTACATCTTATGATATAATTTACTAATGTTTGGACTGTTTTTTTAAATTACTTACTTACTGAAATAGAGTTTTTTTGTTATTACTTACGGCGTTTAATTATTTTGGATAATTTTAAAGAATCTTTTTCAAGCAACGTGGCCTTATTGTTTTTGTTGTATAGACAAACACTTGTGTTATACACTTCGAATGTGTAATCACATGTTCTAAACTATGATTGTATAATCTAATCCCTACCCGGTAGATTTAAAACTGTCCTTCCTTGAATTTCCACTCTGCAGCGATGCGTCAAATATACTTCCAACGTGCATGCGGACTAGAGTAGATGTAGTCATATTTCCACGACAGTTTCTTTCTGGTTTACACAAAATAATATAAGTTTTTGGAAAAAAGAGACAGCCTAAAGCGACCGAGGCGCTTAAACTTATTGTGAGGCAAAGTACAATCGGGCGTATATCCGGCCCGCCAAAATAAAGAGGGACAAATGCCAACCAAATAATACATGTCGTATACATTGTGAACGCTATGAATTTTGCTTCGTTAAAGTTTTGTGGTAAATTTCTCGTCTTGAATGCATATAGTGTACACATAGCCACCAGAAAAAAATCAAAAGCCAGTGGCATAAGCATGCCCATTGTGTCCAATTCACAGACGAGGAGCACTCTATGTCTTGTGGGGTACAGGTGGACACCCTCCGGGGGCTCAAGAATCATAAAAGTTACTGTAATTCCAACTTGTATGATCACTAACATTGACGTCATCACAATCTGCGCAGTCGCACTCAAAAACCTCGGTCGGCGAGTCATAATTCTTTTTTTACTCCCAGCTAAAATACGAGCCATTCTATTAGTTCGAATCAATAACGCGGAGTAGATGACAGAAAAACTGAAACCAATAATTCCCCTTTGCAAGTAACAGACTAGTGTAGACGGTTTGGAAACTAGTACAAACGTGGTACTGTAACACATGAAAATGCCGGATAAAATTATGTAGCTGTTTTCCCTGCTTGATGATTTAACGATCGCAGTGTTGTGAAATCGAATAAATGTTGAGGTAATGAAAAGCGTTAACAGGATGCCTATTGATGAAAATGTAATGGCAACAATTGATACTATATCTCCCCATTTAGTGTATTCTTCCTCAATTTCCAAGCAATCTGAGAATTAAATAAGAAAATAAAATTAAACATAAGTAAACTGAGGTTGAATATATTCAAAAAATTAACGTAAACTTACAAATAATCTAATAAAAAAACAAAACAGATAGGCTTTACATGTGAGAATAAAATTCTAACGCATTATATATACTGGTGCGCCTAAAATGTTAATTAACTACTAATAACATTATTATTTATATTTCATATGATCATATGATATTATTAGCTCATAAATGTTGGTTGTTAGTCCAAAGCGCGTACCCCCGAAAAGCTGTCTCTTATACACATCTAGATGTGTATAAGAGACAGCATTATAACAGCATAGCAGTTTATATATATTTATCATTCGAATTATTAATATAGTAAAATTTTTTATAGTTTTCCAATAAACAAATACAAACATTTTCTGTCCTCGTTTGGCCAAGTGCCTTCCTCACATGCTTTGCAACTGCCGTCTACCACAATCGAATCGTCATCACACGGTTTGCACGTCCAACAACATGGCGCTAATTCTGCAAGTTCGTTCTATCGAACAGAAATACAAAATCAAATTACTAGCATGTCACGAACACGTCATCAATCATAATTTATTTAAAAATTTAAACTACAATCTTTCGATTATTGAATTTATTTAAGACCGAGATAAATAAAACCTCGGGATTTACGTTTATTGCGTTTAGGTAAAAAGTATTTGATTGTTCTAGTTTATTGACTTTTTTCTTTCTTTTGCTGTAATATATCGATTTTAATCGTACGCGATACATGTTAAAAACTGGGAAAATGCAAAAGAGTATATGTCTATGGGTTGTCAAATTTGGCCACAAAAGCTCGAATGAAAGTGAAATTTGAGTGAATTGAGTTTGCTTTCTGATGGAAACAATGTCTTTAAAGCTGTATTTTATTTTAGAGTCGTTTAAAATATGGATCGTGTAGTTGTAGAGCTAAATGTTAATGCCGTCGTCAACTAATCGATAAAATTATTGCATGAATGAATATGAAATTTTATTATTATTTTTGAACTAGCATCTAACAGCTATGCAGTATTATATATGTCTATGTTCTCTATAGATCGAGCGGTTTGCCAAACAAAACAACCATCGGACTAATTGACTAAACGACTGACCGTTTGCGAGTGATTGATCCACCCATCTGTAAGTCCGTACTCAGTCTGAGTCCGTACCTACGTCCGTCAGTCATTTAGTGCATACGTCTATCAGTTAGTTTAATCAGTTAATCTAATCAGTCCGTATCAGTCAGTTAGTCAGTCCATGAGTATGTCAGTCTGTCAGTCAGCCAGTCAGTCAGTCAGTCGGTACGTCATCCGTCCGTCCGCCCGTACGTCCTCCATCCGTCCGTCATTCGGTCAGTCATTCATCCATTCAGTGAATCAATCAATCAATCAATCAACCAGTCAATCAATCAACCAGTCAGTCAGTAAGTTAATCAATCATAGAACACTACAACGAAACATACAATGGTTGCAATAGACATAGTGGGAGAAAGTGAGTTTAAATCTGATGTTTCATACTTTTTGTTTGATTTCGTCACGTTTGCAAGGCTCGCTGCAGTAACCTGTAAAGCTAGGGTCAATGTATGTCGGTCCAAGTCGGAGACTATTATTCAGCCACTCACCGGCCTTTACGTACGCATACTGGCCACTCTCGTTCCGGTAATTATAAATCGTATATCTGAAAAATGATTGCACTAATAATAATAAACAAAACGATGATACTTATCGTTAGTAATAATAATAATAATAATAATAATAATAATAAAGTTGTTATATGATAATAATAATTACCATTTTAGTATAAAATATTATTAATAATAATAGGCCTAATAATAACCATGGGATAACTGTGATGACGACGATGATGACAATGTCAATGAGGATGATTATGATGAGGATAAAGATGATAAAGTGATGATGATGGGGATGATAGTGATGGTGCTGCTGCTGCTGATGATGATGATGAAAATGATGATGATGATTATGGCGATGATAATAAAGATGATATGATAAAGATGATTTTGGGAGCAGCTTAGCTCAGTCGGCTAATCTGGCGGTAGCCACTGTGTGTGCGCTGAACTGCGGAGATCTTTAAGTCCCCGGTTCAATTCCCATCGCTGCTCTCATTGCGTTTCAACTGAAGGGCTCAAATACAAGTTACGATAGCGCACCGTCTTTCGGATGAGACTTTTAAGCCGTTTGTCCCTTGTGCGATATGGCCCATGTGCACGTTAAAGAACGCAATACACTCTTCGGAAAAGAGTAGGGGATTGTCTCCCGGTGCACTGCCCAATTTACCACCAGAAGGACCCCACTGAAAATAAGTCTTCAGACTTCTGGGTTATTCTTGGTGTGATTCATACCGAAACACTTAATTATGTTATGTTTATGTTATTTTATGTTATGTTATATTGATAAAAAAATGTTTATATGGCACCCCACGCTTATGTCATGGTGCGGTCAAGCACCGTTGATGCTGCTTCTTCTCATAAAAATATGTAATACAATATGTTTTCAAACACAAAACAATAAAACTAAAAAATACGTTATGGATACTAAAATTAAAACCGTGATGCCTTTACGTTCATTGATGCACGTGACGTATCTAATTATTAATATAAATTCAATTAGTAAAAACGAAGCACGCCATGGGGTAAAGTGAAGCCTTAGGCATTGTGTTTATAATACCTATAATATTATCCTATTATAGCTAGCTCATGGATAAATTGATGACGTAAATTAGGATTTATTGTACAGTGATAAAAATAGGTACTTCTTTTATATCGAGCTTGAGTTTTGTGTTTACGAAATAAAAAACATATATATATATATATATATATATATATATATATATATATA